TCTTTTCACGGATCCTAAATTTTACTATCTTTATCCGAATCCGCGCTCCCCGGATATCCTAATTTTCGGAGCGATTTCAAACGGATAACGGATCGGATCACGGATAATAATTCCACCCCTAATTAGGAGTAGGATTCTTAACAATTTAACTCATTAAACAAAACTTTCACAATCTTAGATATATACATAAAATACTCAAAATTCTTACAATATAATTTTGATAGATTTATTGAATACACAAAACTCTTTCGAAACTTAACAAATCTCTCTACAAATTTAACAAATCTTTAAACATTTAAAATTCACAAACTCTATCTAAATTCTATTCCCAATAACTCCTTCAAATGTTTTCACCCAAAAGAAAAAAAAAATTGCATACATAACCTAAAAAAAATCTATAACTAAAAAACTAATCATTTGTCCTATATCTAATGGCTATAGTTTAGCCACATATAGCAAATTGTATTAGTTTTTAATTATAATTTTTATAGATTATTTCACAGATTAACCCAAAAAATAAGTACTGGTAAAATTAAAAAGGAATTGATTAATAGATAAAAGTATATTAAATTTTTATAATTAATTTGATAACTATGTTTAAACACATGTATACTGTTTGAAAATTTGATTTATAATATGAAATTGTTAGATGTTCTCTGAATAGTTTTGTTTTATAAAATTTGGTTTGATTATAATCTATCAGAAGAAAAAAAATTAACAATATTGAAAATAACATTATCATTTATTATTTTTATGACTATTTTTAGTTTTTAAACTATTTTAATTATTTTTAATTGGTTTATGTAAATAATCAGATTTGAAATATTTGAAAATAGAAGAAATGTTATCATATGATGGGGATAAATTAACTACCTAGTATTATACTAAAGTTTTGATTAGGAGAAGAATTGAAAACCATTTGTCAAACAAGAATGAAAGTCAAAGCTGAATATTGGTGTGAGAGTGGAATGAGAGGGCAAGTATGAGCTATCTATCACACTCGCGGCGCGTGAATAGACAGTAAAAATAGATATTTTGTGTCTGACTGTGACCATCAAAGGTGAAGAGCTGTGTCAGATATCCACCATACACGTGTCATCTTTATATCCACCAAAGACCAACTAGTTTAAACAAGTGTCCTCGTTCGCTGCCTTATCCCCTCAAAATATCTAGCCGAGGAAATAACTTTAAAAAAAACTCATCATGTGGTCCCCACTTTGACACGTGTTGATTTATTTATTGATCCACCACGCAATACAGCAGCAACAGAAGAAAAAAAAACCAAAATGCTGATAAAATTCGAGATAATTTTGGTTATTTCTTTAGTTATTAATTTTTTCGGTTATTGAACAAATTGCCCCTTAGAAAATCCGAATATTTTTAACAAAATAATATATTATTATTATTTAAGATAATAATTGTTAAAGCCATCTGCCCTTGATGTGTTTTGTGAAAAGACAAAACCAAAATATCCGTTTAAAATTTTAACTGAAAATAATGATAATAAACTTTCAAATAATCAAAAATTCTAACCCATGTATAAAAAAGCAATACTACAATTTATCCAAGACAACAAAACCCAATGTTTAAATACTTTGGATGTTTTTTCAAAGAAATGTATAAATACTTTTTCGCCACTAGCATTAGATATTTTTTAGGTTGATTTTTATCTCAAAGGTCACGAGTGCTATTTTCTATAGACCTATTTGTTCATTTAAAAATGTGAATGTTGAGAATATTATAAAAGAAAAACTGGAGTATTAATTGTTTGGTAATTAATAGCATTACGTAAATTAGCTTAGATGTTTAATGATCTACGATGCTGACAAAATAAGCAATCTATTAAACATTTCTACTACATTACAAAAACATTAGAATAATTATATACAAAAAAATTAAAATCCAACTTTAAATACGAACCACAGAGTAAACCAAAGCCCAGCGACCACACCAATTAAAAAAAAAGGTTATTTGGCGTATTGAATCTCTTTCTTTGCCTCCTACAGTGTTTGCTGATGTGTCAAACGTGGCCACGTCAGCTAATTCTCCTAGATATTTTTCGAATCCTTTTACAACCGTTAGATCACGGTCGGTCGTCAACACGATTCCAATCTCAGCCGTTAAAAGATTCGCTAGATATTTGTTTTTCCGCAATAAGATTTTTTTGCCCCCTTAAATTATCTCACCACTCACAAAATATTATTTTGAATTGTTTAGCAACTGTTTCTTCTTTGCCTTTTTTCTCCTGCTTTTGCAATATCGATTTGGGTTTTTAGATCGGAGTATTTGTGAGAGATGCGAGAAGCCGTGATGATGAGTAGTAGCGAGGAAGTAGTTGAAGTGACGGTTGAGAAATCAGTTGTTGTCGCCGGAGAGAAGTTAACGCGGCGGAGGATGAAGAGGAAAGACGCCGGAGAAGGTGGCGGCGATGGGTTGGTGAAGTGGGAGAGGTTTCTTCCAAAAATCGCGTTAAGAGTTTTGCTTGTTGAAGCTGATGATTCGACTAGACAGATAATCGCTGCTCTTCTTAGGAAATGCAGTTACAGAGGTCAGTTCCTGATGAGGTTTTCGTTCGAGCATCGTGTGATTTTCATGTTTTGATGTTTTGAGGCTTTTGTCCTTTCGATTTTGGGGGAAATCTATGTTGTCTGAGAATCTAGAACTGTAAAACCGGAGAGAATTCGATTGAGCTGCTCTAATGATATGAATCTGATTCGCGTTATTGTAATTTTTGCCGTTGAATGTTCAATTGAAGTCAAAATTAGCCAAAGTCAACGATTTCTCAGTTTTGCATCTGATGTTTTGACAAAGATTGTTGTCGGAGGAAAGAAATGTGTGCTGTTTTGTTATCTCAGCTGAATTTTCCGACAGAAAATGAGCACAGAGATTTTGTAGATAATGATAAAGAAATTATTTGAATCTTGGTCATTTGTATATAATCTGAGTCTCTGTTGTAATCTGTTTATATATCTTTATTGTTTTGAGTCCTTAACGAATCTTAATTTCCACAAGAAGCTCAAAGTTTTGTTTTTTGTTCTCTGTGTCTTGGATTAGTTGCTGCTGTACCTGATGGCTTGAAGGCTTGGGAAATGCTAAAAGGAAAGCCCGAAAGCGTCGATCTGATATTAACAGAGGTTGATCTTCCTTCGATATCTGGATACGCTCTTCTAACACTTATCATGGAGCATGATATCTGCAAGAACATTCCTGTCATAAGTATGTCACATTTCCAACTCCTGCTTTTTCGTTTTTTCGGTCACTTTGAAATGATTTTCTGGCTCATTATCTTGTTCTTGTATTGTGTTTCTTTCCTCAGTGATGTCGACACAGGACTCGGTTAATACTGTGTATAAGTGCATGTTGAAAGGTGCGGCTGACTATCTTGTTAAGCCGTTGAGGAGGAATGAGTTGAGAAATCTCTGGCAACATGTCTGGAGAAGACAAGCTGTATGTACCATGCCATCTTTTACCGCTTTTATTCCTAGATTTTACGGTTTTTTTTTGCCCCGTGCAATCTACAACAAAACCATCCTTATATAAGTTCTGGGAAATTTCGTTGTCTATTAAAAGATAATTGAGTTCTCAGATTTTTCTCTTTTGTTTATGAATGTTTTGGCAGTCACTAGCTCCTGGTAGCTTTCCATTGGATGAGAGTGTTGGACAACAGAAACCCGAGGGTGCGTCAAACAATTCGATCAGTAACCACGGGAATGCATTTGAGAGAGACGAACATCCTGTAATTGAGAATGGTGGTGATGCCCAGGTTAGTTGTGATTATGGACTATCTTATTTTCAGTACTGGATTCTTCACACTTGAATTTGATTCTGTTCCTTTGTGTTGTGTTTAAACTATTAGTCGATTTTTGTTCTTGTAGAGCTCAAGTACAAGACCAGAGATGGAAGGCGAAAGCGCAGACGTGGAGGTTAATCCAAGAGACTCATTGCAGATGGAGAGCGCAAGGATAGACTCATTGAAAGAAGCCATTGACTTCATGGGAGCATCACTTAAAAGAAATGGACAACATAACAGAGAAGAAAGTGTTGCCAAATACGGATCTCGGATAGAGCTTGATCTCTCTCTGAGAAGACCTAACGCTTCCGAGAACCAATCTTCTGGAGACAGGCCCTCTCTTCATCCTTCTAATGCCTCGGCTTTCACACGGTTAGTTGTCTAATATCTAAACCCATCTTTCTACCAATCATATAAAAGTTGTCGTTCTTTCTGCTGATTGTGTATGCTATGTTCTTGTTGTTCAGGTATGTTCACAGGCCGTTACAGACACAATGTTCGGTGTCTCCGGTTTCTGATCAAAGAAAGAATGTTGCAGCAAGTCAAGTTGATAACATTGTGCTAATCAACCAATACAATTCATCTGAAACGCCTCCAAGAAAAAACGAGGCCAGTTTTTACACTGGAGCTAACTCACCGGGTCCACCGTTTAGCAATCAGATGAACTCTTGGCCAGGACAGAGTTCTTACCCAAAGCCAATTCCAGTCAACGGTGTACAGTTCAGGGGTCCTAACACAGCTTACGCATCTGCCATGGCTCCTGCTTTGGTCTCCCCAAGCCCGAGTTCCGTTAGCCCGCATGAGTACAGTTCCAGGTTTCACCCATTCAATGTTAGACCAGAGGGTTTCCAAGAGCGTGATGGTTCCACCGATCAAGATGAGAGAAGACATGCCTCTTCTGCTACCGAACAGAGTGCAATAGGCAATCACTGCAGTAGCAACCACATTGATCATCAACAACAACTAGAGAAGAAGAACGAAGACGGGTGTTCGTCGTCAAAAATCCAGCAATCTCTTCAACGGGAAGCTGCTCTGACCAAATTCCGAATGAAGCGCAAGGACAGGTGTTTTGAGAAAAAGGTATAAAACTTTGATCGCTGTTAAACTCTCATGAGCACATAAAGATAGGCTTGTCAAGAAGAATGATACTAACAGATTTCCTTTCAGGTCCGATATGAGAGCCGGAAGAAATTGGCAGAACAACGGCCACGAATCAAAGGCCAATTCGTTCGTCAAGTCCAATCGACCGAGACGGCAACAGAAGCTCCACAGTGATCCAAACAAATTGATAATACAGTTTAAATTTTGTATCAACTCAGGGGATTTTTGTTTTCTCCGACGCTCACTTCTTGTGCTAACTTCAAACATATGTAGTTGGTCTAAGATCTGGTGTGTGTACATACACAACTTTGGAGCTTGTTGTTGAGTTTAGTTTAGGATCTATCTTATCTTAATTTAGCTCTGTAATTACATACGATGGATTTGTCTTTCTGTAGCTTTGCAACAAGAGTTTATAAGAATGTCTAATTCACAAAATCTCAGCGCAAAACAATGAAATTGAAGAAGAAAGATAAGTTACAGTGAGATCAAAACTTCTGGGAATTGTAGCCAGTTTTATACATCAATCTCTAAAGCTGAGATTTTATATGCTATAATGTGTATATATAACTGATGATCACTGTGAATGGCAACAGACGAATATAAAGTTAAAAATGGAAAATTTGATAAAACTGTTTTCAGAGTCGAATCGAATTGGGGCTAACCCATTTCCAGTGATGCCGTTTCACGGTTACGGCTTTACCGGCGGCGAGTCTTTCCTCCGTATCTTCCGTTGAGTCTCCGTCGTACTCTTTCTCTTCCGTGCAGAAATCTTCCTCCGGTAAGCCCTGCACCGTCGCGTCCACCGAGTGCAGAGCGTAACGCGCCGGTAATCCCGGATACGAAACCGAGTTTCTTTCCTCAACTCTTCTGCTGTATGTTCCGGGAAGAATCCTGATTCTCTGTCCGGAGATATCGTCGTTGAAGATAGATCCGAGCTCTTCTTTTATGGCGCGAAAGACTGCTTCGTCGGGTGTTTCTTCAGGCTTCATCTTCTCCGATAAAGGACGAAATCTCTCACGGATGCTCCCATCGGATAATTCCTGATGAGATTCCACAAGGATTCTTCCGTCTTTTCCGATTACCCGGACAATGACGACGTTGACTGTGCGTACCGGAGGTGTAGAATCGGCGAGAGAAGTCTCGCCTTCGGAGAGCTCAAGGAAGAGGTTATGGACGTTTTTGGTTCCCGGTTTGACTCCCCAGGCGGCGAACGAATCGGAAGGTAATCGCGATTCCAGCCAATCGGAGAGCGATTGAGGATTAGCGAAGCGTTGAGAGAGAGGCGACGGTTGCGAAGGTGAAGGAGGTGGACGAGACATGACGGTGGATTGACGACGGCGAGGATTTAGAGGGAAAGAGAATCTGTTAGGAGGGAGAGAGAGTAGAGGTTTAGGAGATGACCAGAGGAAGAGGAGAGATACCGCCGCGAGAAAGAGATCGGGAAGAGCGGAGGAGACGGTTGCGTTACGAGGCCGGTGGTTGTTACGGCGGTTCACGAGAGGAGTGTGCGGCGGAGATGGGCCAACGAACATGTCAATGACCAAAATGCCCTCGAACACTTTTTCTCTTCAATCTTGGCTCATACTCGGATTCGGATTCAAGAGACCAAATTTATTCGGTTTATTTTAGATTTTTCGTATGACCAGAGAATAAATATGAGGGGGAGATTTGTGAGGGTCAAATATAATATTCACATTATCTAATCTTTTTAATAAGTAGATTCTCTAAAATTTCACAATGGATCCTTATTGTTTAATTATTTACTCTTTGGAACCCTGCATTTTAGCTTCATACAGAATTTACCATTACATTTACTACGCATAGCCATTGCCCATTATGTACTAGTTTCGTAATTACAATGAAAATACACGATTATGTTCGAAGTTCTTTAT